TAACTGTGCTAACTGCAATACAAACCAAACAGAAATCAGAGTTTGGCAGATAACTAAGAAGAGGGTTATCACTTAGGTTATATAGCAAAGTGTTGATGTATATTACATAGAGTAGTATAAATAATAAAAAAGTATTATTTAAATTAGATCACAGTGCTGCATTATGTGCATAACAGTGTTTGATATATTACTGGAGGGCTGTGAAGAACACTACGAAAACGTAACTGGTCAGACGGTCAACACTGATACTGTTACAGTCAGGAGGACGCGTGGTTCAAACGCTCTTTTGGTGGCAAAGTCAGGACAACAGCTCCAAGTATCTCCTGTAAAATGGCCCATGAGCTGCTCAGGCCGTGGCCTCACACCCGGAGGAGCTGGGCTCGCGTTCTCCATGGGGTGAAGTACATCGCATTGCATCTGGAAATGCAGCCTCTCCACAGCTTTACTCTGGTCCCCGAGCCTGGGGCAGTAACGCTTTAAAAATGCCTCGGGCCAGATTTGAGGGCAAATGGTAATAATAACAATAGTAATAGTGAAATGGGGAAGGTTTCCAGGAGCACTTGGGTGTCTGCAGCTCCACTGACTGCAAGGGAGATCAGACACTGTTGGGTTCTGGAAACCTCACACTGTGCCCATCTACATCTGTAGATGGTTTGGGAGCCAAAATCTCAGTGAAAACAATCGTGGCTACCCAGAAACCAGGACACAGGGTGGTTTTGGTTGTTCTTACCCCTGGTGCCACGTGGTGGACGATTCCCCTCTCCGCTAAAGCCATGTTGATGTAACTCTACCTCACGCCAGTGGAGAACGCGGCCCGGGAGCTCCTCTGCACCCTTCCAAAGGCAGGCAGCAATCCAGCCAAACAGCGGGGCCAATGCACCCCTGTGGGGGTCCCTGCTCCTGTCCTGAGGAGCCAGAACACCGAGTGGCCAAGGAGAGCAGTCACAGGGCGCTCTCCAGTCCCACACGGCACCACAACTCGCCCCCACATCGGGTTTTTGGCTGTAAACCCCTGTCCTCTGGGTAGAACTACAAGGAGAAGTGCAGGATCAGGCTGCTTACAGAGCCAGCCATGGGGTGATCCATTAAAGCTGGTCAAGCCCTGCACTGGAAGGTTCAAAAGCAGGCAAAACCCGGGTCAAAACACAGCAGGACACCCACCTGCCTGCAGACACGGGTGGGATCTGCTTGAGGCGCCTGCTCTGGCCTGCAAAGGGCACATTGCAGAGGAGCCCTCACAACGTCCAGACCCTGCGCTCCCCGAGCCCTGCCCGTCCTGGAGAAACGCTCATCTGGCAATGCTGAGAGCGAGGAAAACGGAAATTCGGTGACTTCTCACCCCCAAAATGGCTTAGGAAGGAAAGCAAACAAGCAAAACCAAACCACTTCATGTCTGGCAAGTGGGAGAGTTTGTAACACAGTGCAATTACCACTCTGGTTTGGCAAGATTCGGTCAAGGTAGAGACAACGGGATCGAAAAGCTGACATTGCACTTTTTGGAAAGCAAATCGGTCTCGGTTCTTATAAAAAAAGAAAATTTCTCTGATGGAGTAGAACCAGTGCTGACAAAGCTGCCATTGTCAGCCAGGCACAAACACGGTTTAAAAGGTCCTAAATACTTCATACCAATCCCAGTTCTGTATCCTCATCAATAGGCAGAGCAAGGGTCAGTAAGGACAGGTTGTTCTTAAACTCCAGGAATCATCTGTGGATGGCACCAACCAAACTGCTGCTTCCTGAACACAACTCTGTACACTCCCAACAGGTAACACCTCCTGAGCAGGTCAGACTAGGAGCAACAAACTTTACATGAAAATAGATGCTTGCCAACATTTTAGGTATACCAGCAAGTATATAACGGAGTTGTTGAAGTCTTAGATAGATTATATATATATATCTAGATAAAGATAACCTGCCTAATCAGATACTTATGCAAAATGACTGTTTCCTAAGGTGATAACACTAGTGGTAATTCTCTATTTAGCCACCAAGAGTCCACGTTAACGAATGGTACTTGCTGTCCAGCAGATCCTGGTCTCACTGCACTGACACGCTGCAGTCACTGGAGCTGAACTGGTGTCCACTGTGGGCAGCACCGCACACAACCACACCGCTTGCCCTGGAGGACAGAGATGGCTGAGCCACGCTGTGAGTGCATTTTTCTGCCACTGAATTTGACTCTTCAGTGTTCTGATAAATATTAAACCACTCCCGAGCTGGTACAGCCGTGCATTAAGAGGCAAAGCTGGTGGCAAACTGACACTGCAGTATTTTGTATTTCAAATCACGCTCCCCAAAGTCCGCATAAAGACGAAGGACCGAGTTTCCTCGTGCAGGGGCTGTGTGGTTCAGCGCCTGCGGCTGCAGGGAGTGCGGATCTGGGAAGAAGCCGATTACCCCAGTCCAACCACACAAGGGAAAGCTACGGCTCATTCACCTCTGTGCTCCCTGGCCAAAGGACTGGGCCCTGCTGTTTTCCCAGCTTCATCTGACGTCGTTATCCAGACTCCCAACTCCACTAACGCTGGGAACCAACCCTGCGTGCATCAGCCCCAGCAAACCAAGGGGAGCACAGAGCTGCTCCTTCACCTCTCCTCTTCCTCATTCACAGAGCTGCAGTCGGGCTGGGCTCCCCGAGCCCAGGCCACGCTGGCGAGAGGGGAGGAGAGGCCCGGTTTGGCTGCGCTGCCCCAGCGTGGCCCTCTTCTTTACCTGCCCTCTTCTGTACACGCACAGGAGGGGTCCAGGCCAGCCCGCCCTGCAGCCCTCCTGTCTCCTCACTGCACACACACCACAGCCATCTCCAAACCCGATTCTCAGTTGGCTCCACCGAGCGGGAAGTCAAACCCTTCTCTACCTCCCTCTCCATAAACTACGTCCGTCCGGGTGAAACTGCTGCCTGAACAGCTGGTGGGGTGAATATAAACCTGTGTGCTTTTGAAGACACAAACCATTTTGTTCTGTTCAGTGGCTGGTTCCTGGGACTCTCTTCTTGCCTCTAGGATACTCTAAGCATAGAGGTTTTAGTGCCGAAATCATGAACCCAGGTGAGAGCCTGTCTCATTTACCTCACAGCTTCCCTTGCCGTAGGGATCTGCAGTCCCACCATCATCATTGCCAGGAGAGCAGCACTGCACCTGAACCGCACTCTCTTAACATGGTTTTTCTCCGGACACCTCAGTACGGCTCTTGACTGACTTCATTTTCTCATGGCGAATTAGCAAAGCTGTTTTCTGTGCTACCTGTTCCTGAATCGAATCAGAGTTTTCCTCAATGAACCTCCCGTTATCCTCTCGATTCTGTCATACACACTCACTACTAAATTTGCCCTCAGATTATTGCGTCATGTTACACATGTACAGACGAAGAAAGGACACACTTTTACTTTTTCTTTTTTTTTTCCTTTTTTTTTTTTAAACAGAAGTAGGGAGAGGGGGGCTGAATGTGCAGACAAGGCAGTATAATTCAACCATCCAAGCCCTACCAGAGCATGAAGATTTTATTTGTTTAATATTGCAGAGTAAGTTCCCCAACAGTCAGTGTTTGTCCCTGAAGAAGGTTAAACCTTAAACACCTGCTTCAAAAAAACCCCAACGACAACGGAAAGGAACCAAAACAAAAACGAAACGAAACAAACAAAAAAAAAAAGAAAACCCCAAAAAAACCAAACTCTAAGCCTAAGGGCTTAAAAATTAGAGGCATAGCCTTTTTCTCTATTTTCTATATTTATATGAAAATAATTCATGCTTCATGCTAAATACATTATTTACCTTACAAGAACTTTGTCATCTTTGAATAGAAAAGACTGTTTGCTTGTGTATTCCCCTCCCCAGAAGCATCCGTGCGCCGTGGATCTCACTGCTGCCGGCCGAGCCTGGGACCTGCGTGGTTTGCTCCCTGGCTGCCACTGCGCGCCCCCGTGGGCAGCCCGCTCAGCTCCCCAGGCCTGCTGCTCACAACACGCCTTCCTGTGCCCCGCTCCTTACAGAACACTACGAATGGCAGGGTCTGTAGCTCGGTTTCCCCTGTTGGGTCAAGGATTTGATCCACAGAAAAAGATTCTGGTGTGTTTCCTTCCTTAACATCTACTGTAATTTCTTAGACGTGATTGCTTTTCACTCAGGCAGTTTAGAAGACATAGCTTGTTTTTCCCTATTAGTAGTATTTTTTGCACGCAGTGCCAATTTTCAGGCTTATGGCTTTTTTGAACATTCTTTTAATTTACTATAGAAGACAGAATTCAGTGATTAACGATGCTGCTAACAGTGACCCCCCCTCCCCAATTTCTTCTCGTTATTTTGCTGAAACCCATTGCACACACAGCTGAAATTCCCCCGAACTTGAAGTCTTCACGTTAGGAGCCACGTACGGCACGTGAAGCGCTATAAGTGCATTTCTAATGCGCGGTTACCCCCCGCGGCTGTCCAGACTTGTATGGCACGGCGTATCCCAGCGCCACCGGATGGCCCTTGGCTTGGCGTTGGTCTGTCCCCACAGCGCGTTATCCACACCTCTAACCCAAGCCTAAGGCCATCGACAACAACTCCTAAGGGCCAGGCCTGAATGATCGCTAAGTTACGCACAGCTCTTCTAGTTTAAGAGGGGTTTCCAAGTGCCCAATTTTACTCCCATCACATTAATGTTGATGTCACTGCGTATTCACCCATGCATTTTTGAGAAGCCGGAGAAAGCAATGGCGATTTTGGCTTTTTTTGTTTGTTTGTTTTTTTTCTGTTAACTTTTTGTCTTCAGGTAATGAAAAGCTTTTGTAAATTAGCTGAGTGTCAGTATGAGTTCTATGGCTTCAATCTCCTTTAAAAATAAAAATCTCAAGGGTCCAAAAAAAAAAAAAAAAGGAAAGGAAAAGAAAGAAACAAAACCAAAACAAAGAGAAAGAAAAACGAAAAAGGAAAAAATTGCTGATATTGCCACAAATCATTAGAATTCACCTGACGTGCTGAAACAAAACTTGGTAAGTTCAAACAAATCATCGATTTGTTCTAATTTTTTGTGGTTTCCTTTTGCTCTTTCTGCCCCTTTGCCGTCCGATTGGTGATGTTGTTCAAACAGGAGCGAATCCCTGCTAAATGCAGGAGCGACCCTGCGGCTTCCTTCATCTCCTCGTCGTCGCTCTCGGGGGGCTTTTCCGTGCGTCTCTTTTTAAGAGGCAGCGTGTCACTCGGGACCTTTTTCGCCTTCATTAAATGTTGCCTTTTCTTGTGCTGGGACGCGTACCCACTGTCAGCTAAAGAATCCTTGGTCTCCTTCCGACTTTGCTTTTTGTCCTCCTCTTCTGTTTCGCTATGGCTCTCGTGGCTCTGGAAGCTGACTTCGCTTCCTTCACTGCTGTCTTGGCTGCCTTTCGTCGCGAATTCATACTGGTCGTCGGCGGAGGAGGAGGACACGGAGTCACTGGCGGGCGACGTGCTCCTGTGGTTGGAAGATTTGGCACTGCTGTAGTTGTGATCCTCCTTTGGGTCGCCGCTCACAACCGGAGAGCCGCAGGACTGCTCGCTTTCTGTCCGCATCCGGCAGTTGGTTATCCCGTTCCTGCAAAACAAACCCAGGCAGTCTTAGAGGCCACAGAGGTGTGATCCTGGGCTAGAGATGATGGAGACAACTGACAGAGAATTGGAAATCATGGCTACCAGAGGAATGTCCATGCAAGCGGGTCTGGAGCCTGACTCGGATTGCTCGTGGATTGGAGGCCGCACACAAAACAAGCCAAGACACACAACAGCACGAGAGGCAGGAGCAGTAAAGGGATGGCTACAGGCAAACGATGTCTGAACAGTCCCGAGTTACATTTCAACCTGTAGTTCACACTTCCAAAAGATTTTTAAAAACCCCACACTATTTTATCTACTGGGCATTAAACTCCCATGAGGTGCACTTCTCTGCCTCCTCCCAAAGGCAGCGGCGCAGGGGCAGGAGAGGTTTCACTTGAGGCAGCACAGCTTGAACTGAGGACTCCTCCCAACAAGTACAAAACCAAGGTCCAGCTGCATTTCTGACCGAGATCAGTTTGTGAACCATCTTAAGTCAATACGGTCTAAAGCCACCAGCTGCCAACAGAGTATTACAGTGTGCTTAAAAACAAACAGGAAAAAATATCTGGTTTTGTTCTGGAAGCTGTTGTTTTCCCTTCGGTTTGATGGCACCTGGTGCTGTGGGAACTGCGGCACCATGTGTTTGAGAGCTAACACTGGTCCTGTCTGCACTGGAAAGCATTGCCACTGACTTTACAGGACAGAGCACAACGCTTGCACGTCTCTTAACAGAGACCGACCCTGCGCAGTGCTTAATTCCTGCT